AGTAAAGAAGTTTAGTTGATAATAAGAGAAGCTTCAATTAATCATGTTGTTTGCTTGTATGTTTTAGATTGGTATTTTTTGTTTAGATAATTTGTATGAGAAGAATGAGGTTAAACTTTTATTTTGATAAAAACTTGTTATTGTGCATTTTTTATCTTTTAACTCATGAGTATCCATAAACATGCGGATAGCCAACGAGTTGGGTTGAGTTTGAGTTTCTCAAATCTTATAGGTTTTACCAAGTTTTTTTTTTATGGATATACCCATTAATTTGGGTTCGAATTTGACAAAATTCAACCAACGTCCGGCTCGGCCCATTGCCATCGGTAATCCAAGTTCAAACTTCAAACCTCAAAGGCTCAAACCATAAAGGAGTCCAGCTTAAGCCGTATGACTGCCCGCAGCGAATCACTCAATTTTGCTCTCCATGACCTAAGTTGTTTTCGGCGCGATCTCCATCCCTCAAAACAAAAGCCTCTCTGCGAACAATTGCCAGAAATCCTATACTCTTCTAACACTTCTTCCTAGCTTCCTTCGAGGTCAGTAGCTCTTCCCTTGTCATGTTAGTTCTAGGGTTTCATCTCTCAGATTCCATTCGAATCCGTTGATATTCTGCTTGTTTCCCGGGAAAGCTGAACTCATCGGGTGGTGGCAAATAGTCCGGCTTCGCTTTTTTTGTGTTCCAAATGGGATGAACGAAGCTTTCAATTGAATAGCGCAGGATTTCTTCCGCACAGTACTTAGTTTGCTTTGTCTCTGTCTTTTCAGATTTCGGTTTTGAGTGCCGGTGTAAATCTATATCTATTTCGCAATGGCGGTGAGTTGGGTTCTGGGAACGGTTCTTCTGCTCTTGTTTTCTGCTTCGTCATTTCCTGACTGTTGTGAGCGATCTGGTTATGCTGTGTGTGCTGTAGATAGAAAGGATTCTTAAAGACGATGCTAGTGAAGAGAAAGGAGAGCGTGCCAGAATGGTGAGTATTCCTCTGAACTTAGTTTAATTGAAGTAGCTGGATAACCTGATCTGTTATACGAAAGCGATTTAACGCTGTGTTTTCTTTCTTAGGCATCTTTTGTTGGTGCTATGGCCATTGCTGATCTGGTCAAGACAACTCTCGGTCCTAAGGGGATGGTAGGCTTTATTTTCTGAGAATCTGGAGTGTGGGCGTGTACTGGGCCTGTTAGTAACTACAAAACTTGAGCTTTTTCGTTGTTTCCCTTCCCAGGACAAGATCCTGCAGTCTACTGGAAGAGGCCAATCAGTGACTGTGACCAATGATGGAGCTACCATCTTGAAGTCTCTTCACATTGACAACCCCGCAGCCAAAGTTCTTGTTGGTATCCTTACTAATGTTGTTTACTGCACCTGCTGTGGCAAATCTCATTTTGTTTGGGTTCCCATTGTCCTATCTGTTTCCGTTTTAATGGTGTTGGTATAATGAGATTCAGTTGCAGTTAATCAATTGTTTTTGCCACACTACTGTTGTGGTAGAAATGATTGTAGCATGGTGAAAAGTATACATCTTGATGATGATCCTTAACTCTACATAGACATTTCAAAAGTTCAAGATGATGAAGTTGGGGACGGGACAACTTCTGTAGTTGTTTTGGCTGGTGAACTATTGAGGGAGGCTGAAAAACTAGTTGCATCAAAGATCCACCCAATGACCATCATAGCAGGTTTGCTCCGGGCATTTCACCTTTGCATTAGGGTTCTCTCCTCACATCATTTGAGTGATGTCAACCTTGGTTACTACAATTCAAAGAATAATGTTTAGCTCAGCTTTACTCTCTCATTGTGTCTGAATTTCCCTATTTCAATATTGATATAAATAATCTATGGTTATCGTCACCGAAGTGCTATCAGACAACTGCATTGTTTAACACTTCGTGTGGTTGCAACCTGTTTACTAAAACCCATTTTTGTAAAATATTTAGCTCAATTTTACTCTCTTTTCATTGTGTGGAATCATGTCCACCTTTCTGTACACATTTGCATCTAAATTTTTGGTCATAGACACCAATTCACTGCCAGACTTGTGCTTATTGCGATGACGAATATCAACGAGACATTGTTATATGTTTTAATTTCAGGGTTTCGAATGGCAGCAGAGTGTGCTAGAGAGGCTCTGCTGAAAAGGGTTGTGGATAATAAAACAAATGAAGGTACCTGTTATGGTTTTTTGTGGTCCAGGGTTTTGACTTCCAACTGCTCTTTGTTAATGCTGGTCCTTTTCTGGGACTTGCGATTTTGTTCTAAAGATAAGCGTCATGCCTTAAAGTCGTTGTACTTGCATATTTGTCTAACTAGCTCAAATGATCAAATTGCAGAGAAGTTCAAGATGGACTTGATGAAGATTGCAAAGACAACTTTGAGTTCAAAAATATTATCACAAGATAAGGAACATTTTGCCAAGTTGGCTGTTGATGCTGTTTTGAGGCTAAAGGTGAAGGGTTTATTGAGTCCGCATTGTTATGAATTTATGTTTTTCTTGAAATGAGTCTGTCCCTGTCAACGTTTCATTTAAGTTTAGGAGTTTGTTGAGAACCAAGAATTCTCATATCTTCTGTGCATAGATGATATAATCTTGGGTCTGACTCTGACATGCCAGTGACTGACGGCTGGGTTCCAGATATGGGTCTCATGTGTGGACTTTAGTAGTAGATAGAACAATGTGCAACGGGGTTGTCTATAGACTTTTTGATTGGATGTCTCACATTGTTTGAGGTTTTGGATTGTTCGGGCAAACTCTGTTGATCCTGCCTCCTATTTCTACTGAGTTGTTTTGTTTATACTTCTTGGTTACAGGGCAGCACAAACTTAGAATCCATCCAAATTATCAAGAAGCCTGGTGGTTCCCTTAAGGATTCATTCTTGGATGAAGGGTGGGTATATGTGAACGTATTCACCTTTGTGGCTTCTTAGTAGCATGTTGCCTCCATGTTTTCCCAACAGTCTTCACTAAATCAGTGTCTGTCTCTGTTCAGGTTTATTCTTGACAAGAAAATCGGAATCGGACAACCAAAGCGGATTGAAAATGCCAACATTTTGGTGGCCAACACTGCAATGGACACGGATAAAGTAAAGATCTATGGTGCACGTGTTCGTGTTGATTCAATGGCTAAGGTTGCTGATATTGAAGCAGCTGAAAAGCAGAAGATGAGAGAAAAGGTGGACAAGATCCTAGCCCATGGGATTAATTGCTTTGTTAACCGGCAGTTGATTTACAATTTCCCAGAAGAACTCTTTGCAAATGCTGGAGTACTCGCAATTGAGCATGCTGATTTCGATGGGATTGAAAGGCTAGCTTTAGTTACAGGTGGTGAAATTGCCTCAACTTTTGACAATCCCGAGTCCGTTAAGCTTGGACACTGTAAGCTTATTGAGGAAATTATGATTGGAGAGGACAAGCTAATTAAATTCTCTGGCGTTGAGATGGGCCAGGCATGCACTGTTGTACTGCGGGGTGCAAGGTAATCCTTTAGTATTTGTTTCATCTAGTATTCCTAGTTTATTTATGACATTTGGTGATTTATGCTCTTTCTTGAGTTTGCCTTTAATCTAGAGCTCAATCCTTTGTTTCTGAATTCATTGTTAATTTTGTGTTCATGCAAACATGTAATGCCTAGTGAGAGAAATATGCTTTTTTTACTTTGTGCAGTCATCATGTGCTCGATGAGGCAGAGAGGTCACTACACGACGCCCTCTGTGTGTTATCACAGACCGTGAATGATAGCCGGGTTTTGTTTGGAGGTGGATGGCCAGAAATGGTGATGGCTAAGGCAGTAGATGAGCTTGCTCGAACGACCCCAGGGAAGAGATCTCATGCCATTGAGGCTTTCTCCAAGGCTCTAGTGGCTATTCCAACCACCATTGCAGATAATGCTGGTTTAGACAGTGCTGAGCTAGTAGCCCGGCTTAGAGCAGAGCACAACAAGGAGGAATCTAATGCTGGGATCAATGTCATCTCTGGATCTGTAAGTAGTATGGAATCGCAATTATTGAACTCCCCTTCATTTCTTGGCTGGACCATAAGTTGAACGTGGGAAACCTCAGACTCATCTTACTGTTGTGCCTTACTCAAGTCTCTTAGCTTCCCCAAGTCCTACATGTTTGAGGTTTTGATTTAGTAAACGAGCTTTTTAATATTAAGTTTCACCATTTGACCTGGCCCTCGTAATTGAATGCCTTGCAGATAGGAGATATGTCAGAGCTAGGGATTTCAGAGGCATTCAAGGTTAAGCAAGCGGTACTGCTTTCTGCAACTGAGGCTGCTGAAATGATCCTCAGGGTAGATGAGATCATCACTTGCGCGCCACGAAGGAGAGAGGATAGAATGTAAAACATGATTGGGCCTGTTGTTTCTCTCTGGAGGAATGGGGCTCTTGCCATTTTGGCCAATCAATCTTATGCACTGAATTGTTGTTTAACCGTCAGATTGTTGAACTGATCACTTCCCCAATCCTCCCCCAGTTTTTCGTGTGATGTTGGTATCTGTTGCGGTATGGAACTCCAGTTTTTGTATTGATCGAATTCTAAATTCTGTGTATTAACATGTGAACAGTGTCGTGTCTACATAATTTTAGTCTTCGAAAGTAGCTGCGATCACTTCCCTTTGTTATTCTTACTAGTCTTTAATACCCGCGCTCCGCGCCGGGACTTGTGGCAAATTCATGCAATTTTGTAGTTAATGTATAATCATAAGGGTGTCTATTGTCTTGATTTATGTCGCTAAAATTATTAGGTATATTTCATGCAATTGTGCTTGATTACGTCTTTGGATAATAATTTGAAGAATAAAAGTTTGCTGATTTTGGTGGCAGATCACACCAAAGGCAACTTTTGGAATCGGGTTCTTTGTTTTTAAAATGTCACAAACAATAGTTCAATTGTTATATGCTTCCCATGAAGAAAAAAAAGTCTAAGTGCATCTCTGAGCCCAACATGTGCTCGGGCCTGGCAACCAAATAAAACGACAGTAGCATGTCGTTTTGTGAATGAACAGCTTTGGACTTCATTATTTCACTTTGATGGATTAAGGCGTGGTCTTGTAGAACTTTGGATATGAACATGAGAAGAACATCAAGAACAAACCGCCAAAATTCCAGAATTTGAAATTGGACATAGTGAATAACTTGCTAACTATTGGACATAGGATCACCATGAATAACTTGCTAACTATTGAGACAACCATAATGACTTAAGAGTCTCTCATTCAAAGAGGCTGAGTTGACTAACACATAGGAGAACATGCTCATGGGCAACGGAGGGAAGCAACAAATATTTGTGCTTAACAAAGATGATTGCACAGGGGTTGTCCTCATGGCTATGTTTATGACAAAACAACACAGACTGAAAATGTAAATAATTAATTGTTGAGACTAAATGGCAAGGCTTTGCTTCACTTAGTCCTTGATCTGACCAAGACCTGCAGTGGGCAAAACCTGTATCTCATTACACACATTTGTATTGGCAGGCTGAACAACATGGTCAAATTCAATTATAAAATGGCAATTACTCTAGATGGAATGTTTACTTAACAATGAGTCCATGAATAGTGTACCTGTCATGGCTGCAAACTGTTCACTCAATCTGTACAGATGTCCTCAAAAGCTTCAGCAAAGACAATATTTCTGGTATAGTTGTCTAGGATTCCATCTGTTTTGGTTATCAAAAAACGAAGACCTTCTGATGATCTCACTCTTAAAACAGCAACATACAGCTGGCCATGGCTGAACACAGGCTCGGGTAGATAGACCCCCACCCTTTCCAGAGTTTGGCCCTGACTTTTGTTTATAGTCATTGCATAACAAAGGCGTATTGGAAATTGACGCCTCTTGAGTATAAATGGCCACTTCCTATCCTCTACATTCAACACAATTCTTGGTATGATTACAGGATTCTTGTCAAAAGTTCCACCCATGATGATCCCTTTGATAACATTTTCTCCCAACTCCGTTACCATAATCCTTGTTCCATTGCAAAGTCCAGTAGAAGTATTAAGATTTCTCAACAGCATAATAGGAGTGTGGACCTTCAGTTTGAGCTCATGATCCGGCACATCATTGAATGTTAATGTATTCAGAAATTCAGTTGGGTATGTTTCATTAAATGACTCCGGTGTTTCTGTATCACTCTGCATAGAATCTGAGCTATAATAAGAACGAACCAGTCCCGGTACTTTTCCAAGCAAAAAGTCATTAATCTCACTAACCTTTGCATTTGTAGGGGTAACAACTGCCCTACAGGTCAGATACTTTGTGTCTCTGTAGCTTTCAGTGAAGGAACCATATATTTCTGCTGCAATTGAGGAGATTGGGTCAACACTTAGCTGAACCAAAAACAAATAAGGAATTTCAATCCAATCAGATGGTGTGTCCTCTTTGAAACGTTTGGTAGGCAGCTTCCCATCACCAAGTGCAAGAACCCATTCTCCAAATGTATATTTGTTCCCAATAATAGCTTCATTTGCTGCTGAGTTATCAATCCTCATGTTTCTCGATAACCTGAGCGAAGTAAAGGAGCTCCATATGTCAGACCTAGTGAGTGAGCCTTGAACTGTTTGCTCGCGACCAGATTCTGGAATCACAGGTAAAGTTTGCCTGAAATCACCCCCAAGCAGGACTGTTTTCCCCCAAACAACTTATGTCCTGGTCCTACCAGAGGTATGTTCATGAGATCACAAAAGGTTCTATCCATGGCCTCAAACGCTTGTCTGTGCGTCATTGGTGCTTCATCCCAAACAATTAGTGATGCTTCTTGTATAAGTTCTGCCAGGTGGGTTCCTTTTTTGATTGAGCAGGTGGATGTGCCATCCAAGTGAAGTGGAATTTTGAATCTCGAATGCGCTGTGGTAGCATTCGGTAAGAGGGTTGCTGCAATGCCAGATGAAGCCACAACAATGACAACTTTTGAGAGACATTTTAATTTTGCAATGACGGTGTTATATAAGAAAGTCTTCCCTGTGCCTCCATGACCATACAAAAAGAAGGAACGACCCAAATTTCAATGGATCGAAACCATAATTGCTGAATAGGCCTCGAATTGATCCATGTTTAGTGACTGCAGCAGTGTATCTGAAAGTGCCTGTTGCTGCAGAACATCAAAACTCAAGTGATCTCTAAGTAAAGAGTTTGATCCATCATCTACTCCTAAGTCCGTTGGCTGTGGAAGGTTAAATTGGGCCAATGATGATGAATGAGATCCCAGCAAAGCTTGTAACTGACGAAGGACCCAATTACGCAGCCTTTCTTCAGAAGGCTGAAAAGCTGTCGAATGAAACTGTTTTCTTAGAGAATAAGCATGGTCCTCAGCCATGAATTTCCAGCTTGACTCAAACAATTCAAGAGGGTTTGGAACCTCACAAAACATCAGCATACATACAAATGTACTCATTAAATTTGGCATGCTGCTAGCTGATATTTCTTGCAAAACTCTAACCCATTCTGAAGAGTCAGACAACAGTCCTAGCTTCTCACATGCTTTTTCATAGCTAGGGCAGACCTCTCCCTTAACAGTTCTTAAAGCAACGTAGCTTGTTGGTCCATGAACCTTTGTCAGCATAAGTCTAAGGAAAAAGACATCACCACTTCCTGGAGGCACATATGCAATTCTGCCTATCGCAAATCCTTTTTTCCGTGGAGTCCATTCATTATCATCTTCGTTCCATGTATACGAATTCGGTATTTGTGCATAAGTCAGCTTTCTTGCCTCCGGATCCCTTCGATTCAGAGCAAACCATTGCGTGAGATGTGTTTTTCCAGACCTTGGATTTCTGAGCACGCTGCGAACACTTGACTGTTTTCTGTATGTCACTTTTTGTTGTCCTTCTAGATGAACAGAAAGTCGAACGACAACGGGTTCTCTGTGATGTATTTCATATTCAAAGATTCTCCATATTGCTTCATATGAGGATAGGGATCTACAATCAATGTACTCCTGTATCTCATCTTTGTTATTTGCTGCATTTGTCGAGGGAATTTGTCTTGAAGTTGCATAATCTTCAGCGATTACCAGGGATCTATTTGGTCCTTTGGTCAAATACTTGAATAAGTATTTGATTAAGCCCCCTTTATGACAAATCTCGACGTTAATGTGAGCCTGCATCATAACCAACAAATTCCTATTGTAAGAAACAACATGCCTATTGTCCAGAACTGCATTGCCCTTTTTCACCTGAATCCCAGAGTCTCTACGTCTATAGATGGCATTTCCAAACATATCAAATACAAAATCTGAACTAAATTCCTTCGGAAAGAATTTAGAACACTTTCCATCCTTCATGCAAGGTGCTGCTGGATTTGCACTTCCACACGGTCCATGAAGCATTAGCCTAACAACTGTTTCATATCCAATAGGATCAAGATGGGGATCGGGAATTTCTGCAGAAATTGTCTCATCTATGTCTACTGTACTTGTGATCTTGTCCGGGTCAGCAAGCCATATAAGCAAATGTACATGAGGAAGTCCTCTTTTTTGAAATTCAATAGTATACATCACTGCATAAGACAAAGGAAAATAGGAATCAACCATTTGCAGATAAAAATATATAACAATGATGGCTTATAGATGAGGTGCAATAGCAGAAGGGTCCATGATCCATTTAGCATAACAGAACACACACATTAGAATCCAACATGTCCCAACCTAATGATATACCACATAACAAACTAACATATGAACAAAACAGATTAAACAAAGTGAAACTCACATGCTATAGTCATGCCAAAATAGTTTCCTTGTTTGATTGCATCAATCAGCTTCATGAGTTTTATATGAAATACCCGGCAAACCACCATTGGTTTGTATTCACCATGTGCACCGACAATTTCATCAAAGGCAGTGGTTAACTCCTCTCACAATGAATTACATGTGAAGGTAACAAATAAATCTGGATTTCCAAAGAACTGACATGTAGCCATCGCATCATAATATAATTGTTGCATGTATCTTGGGCCACCTGTATATGAAGAAGGTATGATAACAGGTCCAAGCTTATCAGCATCCATGTCACCCCTAGCAAATGCATCTTGCAGACCCTGGTAAACTTCAACGCGAAGTTCTTTTTGGTTGCTTCTCAGAAAAGCAAGTCGGTTAAGCTCAATAGTAGAAAAGGCATCAACACAGTAATGCTGAAGAGCTTTCCCACTTTTTATCAATGTATGGCCTTCATTCATGCGATACTGCAACCGAAATGCATAATACTCCCTTTGAGTTACAAACCTTCGCTTAGCTGAAACTGAACAGTACCTAGAATTATATGGTATCAAAGGATGATATCCATCTTCGCCGTATGGGAAAAGCAGTGGAAAGTGAAGCGCCTCGAATTTTGGGTTGACACTTTAGATTCGTTTGAGGCCTTCATCTTTGTGGTCGACTATGATGTCCCTGTCTTTTCTATCTGGCACAAAATCCCCTGGAATCAAAGCAGCTACATCATCACTTGTTGGCAAATCATATTGACGATTCCTGCTTTCCATCCCAAATATCCTAAGTTGAAGATTCAGAGTGGATGATTGCTGCAGTTCTTGTCGAATTCTCCTCAAGCATCCTCATCAATGAGGTCAACAGCTCAGGAAGAAGCAATGTTTCTCGAGATGTAAAATTGGCTAATCTGTTACTCAACTCATTTTCAGGTTCAAATACATATAACTGGGCATATTTTGGTTTCTTCCCATCCATTGGCAGCAATGAACCAATCCTGTGATAATTTTCTTCGCAAATAACCATGGAGTAAGGACCTCTGCTTGTAAGGGATCTAGGGTACAATTTAGCTCCAAAAGATGTAAAATATAAGGCACCATTAGATGGGCGTATGTTTTCTCTAAAATGTTTGGACATCGATCCTCCATTAAGATCAAGCAACTGTGCAAGCAAAGGAGGAGGCTGCATCAGGAGAGGAATATCAACTTTACCCTTCTGGCAGCATATTCCATAAATCGGCTGAGATGTATTTCGCTGACGATTTAACCTCTCATCGTACCAAAAAAGAGCTCCACAATACTAACATATGCATTCTGGCTTCCCAATATTCAAAACTTCGCTGCAAAGAGGCCTGCGTGCTGGAACAATACCTGAACCCATACGACCAGCAGAGGAACCACCATCCGTCCCTACAGAGCCTTGGTTTGTTTGGTAAGGATCCAGGACAGGTTGAGTGAAGTCATGACAAAATGCAGATTCTTTCTGGGCACCTGCAGCAGCCACCATTCCTGTTTTTTTGCGTTTCAGCGTAGCATAAGTTGTTGGTTGCTTCCTTTTTGGAGGCATTTCTAACAACACACACCTAAACACACACATATATATATATATATATATATATACCATAAATGAGCAAAACAACCATGAATAATAAATGACACTCCTCAGCAGACATAAACATGAAAAAGTTCCCACCAACTTGTTTCCTTCCGTCAATCAGCAAACACCAGAAACATCAAAAGCTGCAGATATTTAATGGAGACATTTGTTTAATAAATCTCTGATGGTAAGATTGCAAATGAAGTTGCACCATAAATGTATTCAATCACAATAAATGAGCAGAACAACCGTGAAACACAACTGGCAATTCTCATGAGACAAATAAGTGGGGAAGATTTAACTAACCTGTCTCCTCTTGTGACTCAGCAGCCAGCAAGAGGCTGAAAAGCTTTAGGGAATGAATGGAAACACTTGCTGAAAATCTCACAGGCAGAGCTGCAGCTTTAATGGTTATCAAGGTGAGAGATGAAAGTATGTTGAGCAAGAAAGTCTCTCTCACAAAACAAACACAATAGTTTCTAATTGATAGTGTTGAGTAATAAACCAACTTGATATTATCACATAAGGTAATCATTACCACCATCCCTCTGAGATCATTTATCAAATATAACAGAGTCAGAGTGCATTAAATGCATGGGGTTTCACTGATGATGGGTGACCAACGAAATGAAAGAAATGGGATCATTAGCTGGTCCACATAGAAAGCAACACCTGTCCCTGCAAAAATTATAAAAAAGTGTGTGCATGTGTGTATATATGCTTGTATATGTATATGTGTTGCCCTTGAGTTGATATATATACAATTCATTTACCCTATCAAGTAATCACAAAGCCTAGAAACTTAAGATAACAAAGGTCTCTATAAACTAAAGAAAGCAAATGTGATCCTTCTATTCAATAAAAGCAGGATTATCAATCAGTTTGGTGAGAGCTACAGCACCAATAAGCTACAAAATCTGTAGATCACTGCTAACAATTGAAATCCTGTCATATAAAAAGTCAGAGCTCACCAAACTGTAAACTCATAGCCTAGAGAACAACATCACATTTTGCCTAATAATAGTCAAAACCTCCCTTGCTCAATGATATAGAAATGGTGATCACTCGAGTAAAAAAAAAACACAACTTCAGTTATAGGGGAACAACATCACATACATACTAACATAAGATACCAGAAGTCCATAACAGAGCTTACATGACTGACATTTACACATGGTTCAGATACCTGTCACCAAGCATAATTACCATATACTTGTTCTTGACACTACATAACTACAAAGGACTTACACGTTGCAGCATCACCAACCATTCTGCTACTATTACATTGCTGGCTCCCACAAAACAAACCCACATTTCCCCAACAAAAACCGTCAACTTATCCAAAAGTCGAGGAAGGAAACTATCTTGGGTCGCACGATCGATTGTCCATATGTACATGAGAAACATCAGAAACTTGATTAAGCAACTGCTAGCACCATGTAACACATTCAACTCCACCTATAAAGAAGATAATAGACATAATCAGGCCAGGACATTAAGGATTCAACATGGCACACAAATAACAATGGCCAACATCTCATATACTGACCTTTGATGCCACCAAAATTCAGCTAGGCTAGAAAGGAGCATTCATGCATCATAAAGGCGACGCTTGACAGGAGTACGCTTGCTAGCTCTAACACCAGTGGTTGACTCCCCTATAGTAAAAGGAGCAGAACTCTGAGAGCCATCACTGTCATTCTTGGGTGTTGTGCTTTCCAGCTTCTCCAACTTGACCTAAGCCAAAGGAGAGGCCAAACTGAAACAAAAATATATGAATAATAAGTGACATATTAGCAAAAGAAACCCAAACCACCAAATCAGTACAACAACTCACAGTTTGGTCATTGGAGAAGAACTCTGTGAAACAACATCACTTCCAGCAAGAGTACTTGGTGGATCATTGGAAGTTATAGCCAGAGATGGGATGGACATATTTGGTCCTTCATTCACCACCAGATCAGAAGTTGCAGGAACATTGGCAGACACAACAGGTCCACTCGCAGATGCAAGTGGCTCAGCAACGACTGTTGCATCAGCCTTGAGCACTCCCTGAAGGTTCTCAGGATATGAACTGCACACCATCTGATCCAGGGGGAGAGTCAATCCCTGTGAGACAGGGGCTGCATTACCATGAGAGATGTCCGGGTTGTCTGATGGAGGATTAGCAGGCAGGGCTTGATCGATCACTTGGCTGCAAAACTCAAAGGATCAATAGAGAGACACACAACAATAAAAGGCACTCTAACAAAGGAAAAATCGAAGTCCAAAGAGAATAACTACCCTGGCATTTCAGATACAGGCTGACCAATGCAGAAAACTGGATTGACATTCTGGAACACTGGACTGGAGATCTTTTCCTTTCCCTTTGCAGAACTGACCAGTACAAAAACCCATAAACACTCTGAAAGAACAAACATAATTAAAAAAGCTGAAAAATAACAATACAACAGTAGTGCGTCACCTGCTTGATGACGCTCCATAGGTACCGGCAGGAGACAACTGCATGCCTCCCGGTGAAACATTCAAGGTAACTTGATTACTTGGCTGGACCACCTGAGGGCGGTGAGAGGACTGAGCAGGAACCACTGCTGCAACTTGAGGCGGGGCAGGCACAATCGGAGGCAGAGCATGCATCATTGGAGGTGGTAGTTGAGCTTCAAGATTGTCATTTGGAAACACCCTCAACATCCTATACTCTCCACTGGAGGATCCACCGACTGGCACCATCGGTAACTTGACCTCAAACTTGAAGTACTGACCAATCAATGTACCCAATTCTGGTGGGAGCTGGCCTGGCCTGTGTGGGTATCTCTGTGCCAAAATCTGTGCAGTTGTATGGGTAAGAACATTGCCACAGGACCCAAAAATTATGAATGGGGCCTCTCCAGTCATGTCCCGCAAAGTCAACTGTATCTTATAACTGTTAAAAAAACAAACATGAGATCAATATGTCAAATCAGAAGCCTGACCAAATAAACCAACCATAAAACATGAATTGAAAACAGTTAATGCAAGGACAAAAGATAGAATTCCTACCCAACTCTGATATGCTCCTCAGAGATTTCCCAATGCTCTGGGCACCAATAACCAGCCCCCCTCCACGTAAAGCACTTCCTCAAACACATATTGCAGGCAGTGTAGTACCACGGGGTCCGAGACTCGACAGAACTTACGATCCCACCACAACAGTACTTGGATTCCTGAACATCCCAACATTGAAACAAACAGAAAAAATTATATCAGACACCCAAACAACGCAAACCACCACATATCATACAAAAATCAAGCATTGCCATTGCACACCACCGACGCTCCAGCATTATGAAGGTCCAACAGTTCAGCTATGGTTCGAGCTCGGTTTGCAGCATCGGCAGCAGCTGCCTCTGCTGTGGCAAACTCCACTGGCAGCTCCGCCACAGGATTTCTTGACCCTCCAAAGCTAGCAAAAAAATAAACCAAACGACATCACAACCTATAGAAAGGCAACAAAATTAATGAATCAAGTGCAGAAAGTAGAGAAGAACAAACTGAGTGACCAGATGAACTGCCTTTGGAATCTGTGGGTTGACAGCCACCCTAGTAGCCGATGAACTGGAGCACACATAATTTCCTGCAAGAGACCAAAGTAAGCAATTTTGGCAAGACAATGAAACCACAAAAGAAATAAAAAACTCAGGGACTTTAGTGCAGAATCAGAAAGGGATCTATGACACGAACAAAAAGAAACACACATACCATTAACAAGAGAAACCATAAGACTCCCAACAGCAATTATAACAGGTTCAATCAAATCTGCCTGGATCAAAGCAATACGATCAAGAACTGCCGTCAGCTCATCCCAAAGTGTGATAGCAACTGTTCCACCCCTGTTGAATCCAGAAGCATATCATGTCAGGACACGAACTGGAGATAAAAAAAGCCAAACCTATAGAAGCAAGAAACACCACCATACACATACAGATGATTCTCAAGCACGTTTAGCAGTCGGTCCAAACTCTGTCACTTGATGACCGATGCCGCCAATGGAATGCAAGCGCCCGACAACATCTTCAAGAACATATATATAAACATGAGGAAATCATGGGCATCAGAAAAGACTCAACCAACCACATAAGACCCGCTAACGGACAGAAAACAAAAAAGAGCACAACCTGTAAGAATAGCATGGTTCCCACTTCTGGTGTGCAACTGGTTATACACCACAATCTCAAAAGAATCTGCAGGAAATCCAGCAGCTGGAAGAGTGCACTGCTGAAATCCTGTTGACCTTGTCACTCTAATAGTCAGATCAAAAGAGCAAGCCCGATAGAGCCCCTTTGCTGACTGAAGGCCAAATCGGCTGATAACATAGATGGCTCCAACACGAAGAACACTTTCTGTATCCGCGGCCATCTCAGGATCAGAAAGTGATTGGATCAGCATCCCCTGCAAGCACACCAGGAGCAATGTGAAAACCAAGCAAGGAAGAGCAACGAAATGGCTTCTGAAATGCAAACCCAAAATAAAAAAAATGGCCACACATGCCAAACACAGAAGCTCAAACACGAATAGAAGGTCGATTACAACTGAAATAAGACGGGGTGCGATGCGGAAAACGCAACTGCAGCATGGCAGACAAAATTCCCAAAGCTTTGAGCAAAAAGTGAACAAAGGAAACCACCAACAAAAAACCCAGAGCAAACAGTCAATGAAAAACTAAGATAACCCTATAAAAACTCAACAAACACCCCTAAGATCACAACTTACTCCCAAATACTCACCGTCTGATCAGCCCACAGACAACAATGGTTGAAGATCCTTGACCCCGAGGGCGTTTTTGCAAGCCACATATGAAGCAGACGCAATCGCAGAGTAACATTTCGACTTCCCCCTCTCAGATTGCACAAAAGAGTCGAACCCATTAAAACCACAATGAAGGAAAACCAGGAGATAGTGAAACCGAGAGCAGGAGCAAAGAAGCGAAAAAAAATAAATGAACCCAGGTGAACCCCCTGAAATAATAAGGCTCTCCACTTGACAAACCAGCCATCAATCACAAACCCACTGACCAAGCATCGATTTTCTGGCCCAAGCATCGATCTCCGCACGGCTGAACAGTGCAACTCTCCCAATAGAGCAAATCAATTGCAAAAGCACTCCTCCCAAGAGAAAGTAAATAAAAAAAGAAGGAACAATGTGTAAAGAACAAAAAGGAACCACATGCAAAAGCAAAAGAGGATGAAAATGGCGGCTACACCTATCACTAACGAAATCAGCCTCCATCAAAATAGCACCCCAAATCCGCAAGTCTGACAGCATCCAGCACTGGCCACACCAAACGATCTCCCATGACCAACGCGGAAAGAACCTAACTCAGTTTAAGAGCAAAAGAAGGCACAACAATCCCATCAGCAGGGCAAATCCAACACAGAGACCCCTGCCAAAGAGCACAGTAAACCGTCAGCCACCAATCTCCAACCCAACGAAAGTAAAAAAGGAACCAAATATACCACCACGAATCTGGAAGCGGCACTTGTCAAAAAAAAAAAAGAATCTGGAAGCGGCACACAGGCCCCCAGCCTGCGGAGTGCACAGCAGAGTGTCGGATGAACAGGAAAATAAGGTCTAGATGAGCAGGAAAACGTATCTAGGTCCACAGTAAATTGTATCTGCGTTCACAGTGTTCGGTGTTTTGCGTTATTATACTTTCAATGATTTAATGTCAGCTCATAGTTGTTTCTATTAGTTAAGAATAGGAATTTGCTGTAGTTACAGTAACTGCGATAATCTGATGATAGAGGACTTGTCAAGTTGGGGGAGAAAATTTTCATATTACCGCTACGCTCTAGATATTCAAACCTTATTTATAGCGAGATTGATCACAACCATTCCATGAAACTCACATTGTGATTTGTAACTACTCGTGGTTTTGTAACATTATTTATAGCGAAGATGATTATTCGATGGGAATTAGAAACTACTCCAAAGGAATCTGATTTTGAATATGGCATCTATTATATGCAATAACCATCATATACTCGATGTTCATATGGTACAATACTTGAGCAAATAATTAGATATATAACAAGTTGCACTTCACCTAACAAAATGCAACAAGTTATAGAACCATTACTTCGTTGGTGGGCTGGCACCATTGCCATAAATACCCTTAGATCCCTATCTTACAACGTGAGCCGAAAAAGAAGGGAAAAAAAACCCCATTCCGATGGTATAACGTATTAACGTATAAACAAAAAGGTTCCATTAACGGAATCAACCGAACCGACGGAGAGAGCTCGGATCGAGATACCGCTCTCTTTTATGTTTCTACTCGGTCCATGTTGCGTTTACCATCTTCGCCATGAACCCATACAGATCCGCCGCTTCATCAATCTGCCAACGGTAGCCAGCAAGACAATAATGAGTCAAGCAAGCGCCGGTTGATCAGCAAAAAGATATCGGAATCGAAGAGACCATAAAATTTCCGTACCATTTTCTGAGTCGGACGGCCGGCGCCATGGCCGGACTTCCGGTCAATCCGGCCGATGATCGGGTTGGTTTGCGGGCTGTTCTCCAAGCTGGTACACAGAACGTACTGCAACGTCTGCGTAAAGAGAGGCAGAAGTAAATAGTAATCGGAGATCATGATCAAGTTCGGATCAGGTATCAAGAATCTTTCTTGTACAAGGATTGACGAGAGATCATCAACTCACCGCCAACAGCTTCAGAGAGTGATGAGGAACGACCCGATCGTCGTGATCAGCAGTCAGCAACATGGTCGGAGGGTACTGAACATCGGGGCTCACTTCCCATGGTCTCCTCACATTGTGCAGTGGAGAGTATCTGCAGAGAAACACAGCAATGGAAAATTTGAATCTAAGTATACAATCCAGGTATGAAGATCAGATTGGTATTCTGTTAATTTGTTCTTTAGGACTGGCATAGTCTGATTCGGTCCAGAATCAAGCCGAATCGGTATATAATCATCATATCCAATGTAAAGAATCATTAAGGACTATAACTGGATCAAATGCAAACCCCTAACATCTTTTCCTTTGGTTCTAGTATAGAAATCTACACTGGATCAAATTATACTTCAATCCAGTCTGATAAGGTCAGATTCAGTTTAGTACGGATTGAATTGTTGCCTTTGGTTTGATTGGTTCAGTTGCACTTACTTGATCAGCCAATGGAACTCTTCCTCCTTTTCTGAACAGCCATAGTCACTAGTCCAAGCATGACCTGTAGAAAAATGAAGTGTTCCAGCAACATAAATGAAGCTAAGTGGTTGCTACTTGCTACATGCGATAGAGATTCTTACCTATTGTGAACTTATGAAATCGTAGCATGTCCATGACACCAACACGAGCCAGCGCACAGCCAAACAAATCCGGCCTCTGATAACCGAAAATAAGGAAGTCTCAAATCAGCCTTCGCTTGAATTAATACAACTTGGTCTGGCGCCAAACTAACTAATTCGTACCTGATTTATGCAGGCTCCGACGAGGAGACCGCCGTTGCTCGCGCCTTCAATGCATAGCTTCTTCGCCTGGGTATAACCTTCTGACACAAGATACTCACCAGCAGAGATGAAGTCGTCGAAGACATTCTGCTTCTTGCCGAGCGACCCTGCTTTGTGCCATTCCTCGCCATACTCTCCACCTCCGCGGATGTTGGCGATGCAGAAGACAGCACCCAAATGTTTCGCGAGTGTCACCCGTGTAACGCTGAAGGATGGAGTGATGCTGATGTTGAATCCACCGTATCCGTATAGCAAGCATGGGTTCGATCCGTCCAGTTTTGTGTCCTTCTTCGACCCAATGAAGATTGGGAACTTGTTGCCGTCCTTACTAGTCACGAAAACCTGAAGCCAAAATGAGCAGCAGCAGGTGAGCAACACACGTTATATCTCAATTTCGCAGCAACATATATCTCTATTTTGAAGCCTTTCAATTTCACTGCAGCTATTGTTTAATGTGTGCAGAAATCTAATCAAATCCATCCAAGCTGAAAGAATTAGAGGAAAAGAACTCACTTGCTTCACTTGGAACTCTGAGCGATCGAATCCAGGTACAATGGTTTCCCGAAATACCTTCAATTCTGGATCTCCAGATCCAAAATCACATTGGTAGATAATTCCAGGGGAAAGAAAGCTTGTAAATCCTATAAAAGCTACATTGTCCTGTCTCCTTGCAGATACCCCAGTCACGGTACCTATATCAATAGGCAGCTGATGCAGAAAAGAACCCGTTCTTAGGTCCCTGATCTCCAATACATTCTTGACATCACTCAGGTAACTCAGTATCAATTTGTCTCCATTGACCACATCTGCTGACTCCAATACATCCTTTTCGGATTCCGGGACAACATCTGTCCATGAACTCGGGTCATTCAAATCCACCCGGACTAGCTTATACCTAGGAGCATCCTTGTTGGTCAGGAAAGTGAATGAGGTGCCATCGTTTGCTATCGCTTCGTACTTAGCATCGAAGTTATCCACAAGCTTAGTGAAAGGGAGAAGTTTGTTTGATCCCCTGAAACTCTGTAGTCCTCCAGGAAGTGTAGAGATATCGCAGTAGTATATTTTGTTGACTGGATCACACCCCTCGCTTATATATAGGAGAAGATGCTGCAAGAACATTAAACAACTAAGACATCAGTCATTCCGAGTGAACTATAAACAGAGTTGTGACGGGCTGAATACCTATTTGGTCACCAATATCGTGTCCAGTTAAAAACTGGTTGTGCCACTATGTCTATCACAGTAAGGCATTGAACTTCGCGTTGAGATAATTATAACATTGAACTTGTCCTAATAAATCATCAAAAGCATTTTTTGTTGCCTTCGTTGATCTTTGTAATCATGTTGCTGAGGTGACAGCTTTTAGTGCTAATAGAGGTAAACGGAGAAATGAAAATGCTAATGATAACAATTGGATTGGTGTTGGTGTTTCAGTTATCTATCTCAATTATGAGTTCAAGTTTCAAAGTTATACACATATGCGAGTTGGGTGGCCAAATTGATGTTTGACCCTCGTCATATCCTGTCCGGAGCACTCAGCAGAAAGAAAATATACCTTCCCATCGTCTGCCACTGTTGCACCCATGATTTGCTTGGGATTTTCTTGATCTCTCCAACACAGTATGTCCTCAGATTGATCTGTACCCAAGAAATGGTAACATGATTCTTGATACAGATTGATATCGGTCTCAGTCCCAGCATCCAACTTCTCTCCATCTCTGCAGAACAAACGTAGAGCATCAGTTCATAACCATACTCAGAATAACACCACCCTTTCATGTAATCCTTTTGAAAATGAAGAAAATTCCTTTGTTCCTTTCATCTCCCAAACCAATCCAGATGTTTGGAGTGTAGATTTTAAACTAGAATACAGTTTGGATGCCCTTTTCAATACACTAGCATACAACGGAACTAAAGGCTACATATCCATCCTTCAGACGATTTAGGTTCCGAAACTAGATTCAAAACTAGGATAGAGTTGAATGTCCTTTTTATTACACTGGCATTACGAAACACTGCCTGGTTAGAATTTCGAATTTCTCTGAATCAGCTAAACTATTGAATTATCATACAAAACCAGAACCGTTCAACAAACAAGGAAGGATACAACAGGCGTGAGAGTTTGAACATACTTGGGAGCAGGGTAACGGCTATAGAAGAACCCTTTGCTGTCATGTGTCCAACTGATCCCGGTAAATTTTGCCTGAGAAACAGAACAAGTAAGCTCAAAACCCATAGAACCGTTGAGAACAGACTTTCAAAAGATAGACAGCCATCGACAGTAAGTCGTCTCACCCATGATATTGTGTCCTGCTCAACTCTCTTATCCGCAATTCGCATGACCTTGATGGTTATCCAATCGCTCCCACTCGAGTTAAGCCCGTAGGCCAAGTACTTCCCATCCTCACTCACTTTTAGCGTCCCTAGCGACACCGTGCCATCCTCGCTCAACGTATTCGGGTCAAGCAACACCTCTGGCTTGCCTTCCAAGCCATCCTGTTTCGATCATTCGAAACAAAGCTTAGAAATCATACCGCCATTCTCCCTATCCATATTACAGTTCCATCCTCCTCCCTCTCTCTAATAGTTACCTGAACGTAGAGGACGCTCTGGGCCTGAAGGCCGGTGTTGTGGAAGTAGAAGTACTTGTCCCCACGCTTGGACGGCGCTTCGTAGCGCGGATGGTCGAACAGCTTCGTAATCTTCTCCTTGAGCTTCTCCCTCAACTCGCAAGTCCTCAGCACCGAATCAGTCAGCTTCACCTGCTCTTCCACGAAAGCCTTGGTCTCCTCCGAATCAGGATCCTCCAGCCTACCAAAACAAAACACACGCAAACAAGTATTTTCCTTCTCAGCAGCTTTTCCACAAACAGGTAGAATGCAACCGGGAAACGAGAAAAGAAAGCACGAGAAAGCCTCCACCCATTACCATCGGTAAGGATCGGAGACCTTGACGCCGTGGTAATCCTCGATGACGGACTCGTCCCTGCGTGCTGGAGGATACGGCAATTGTACTCCTCCGGAACCGTTGGGAGCGGAGAGCGAGCCCATTGTTGATGGTGGTGACGTTTGGAGGGGAGAAGCAGGGAGAGAAGAGAATGGACGGGGAGAGTGTGGAGAAGGTTTTTGGTTGTTGGTTGGAGGGATTAGGAAGGAGGGAGAGTTTGAATATAAGGAGACTTGTTGGGGGGAGAGATGGAGATGGAGATGGAGATGGAGATGGAGATGGAGACGGAGACGGAGACGGAGACGGCGAGCGAACCGTAGCGGCCGTGAAAACGAAAGAGGCTTGGTGGCGGGGGATGGAAGAGGGAAAAAAATAGAAGGGGTACAGCAGTGATGGCATAAGGATGAGAACATTGTTGAGAGAGATCAGATTTTTGGCAAGCGAATTGCCCGCCCAGTGTATTTGCCATTTGGGCGAAAACATTGGAAAGCGGTGTCGTCATTTATTTTTTGTTGGTTTGGATTTGTACAAAGGGGTTTTTAACTTTTACCTTCTAATTAGTTATTCGAGTTTTTTTTTTTTAACCATAGGGGTTTTATCTGTGGATATCCTTTCTACCATAAATCTCTTCATAATTCCCATAAAAAAAATCTCTTCAGAATTATATTAAAAAGGAGAATTTCATTTCATTAAAAAAATAGGTAAGAGTTTTTACTATCAATTGGTTATTTAAGGGCGCATTTATCGACATAAAATAAATAAAAACTTGATAATTCAACATATATTTCGAGTCAAGGTTGTTAACCCGCGGGTCAATTCGGATCCGGTCAAGCTAGTGGGTCAAGGGTTAATGAGTCACTCATTTTAGCCCGTTTTAGCCCAAAAATATAAGAAAGTCATTATATTGTACTTATTTTGAATCCAACATAAAAAATAACCGTACTTAAACTCCAACACACTTAAATAACATCAACTTAAATTCGACATAGTAAAAATTCAACGACAGTTTGAAACGAGCAGCTCGCTGACCCGCTTGGACGGGCCAACCGCCCGGATTTTCCCGAGTTTTACCGGATTTTTCCGGGTTTGACAAATTCTGGGCTAACTTTCAAATGGGCTATTTTAACCCGTTTTCAAAGCCGGGTCCGGGCCAATTCGGATCAACCCGCGGGTCAACCTTGTTTCGAGGCCAACAATTTACGTAAACAAAAGAAGAATTAGATGCATAAGGGATCCTGAGTGAGTGGAATATTTGAGGATTATTTGCAATAGTGTAGGGAAACTGCATATTATCTGTTCAGAACTTTTGATATTATGTATTGTTGGATTTCTCACAATTTTGTTGCAATATTGAACTATAGACCGAGTAATATTATTAAAATGAATTTGATGAATATCTCTGTATTCCATGTGTTGAACATTCCATGTTTAATGCACTAGTTTTCAATTATCTCCCATTGATTGCAATTGAATTTAGAATATGTTTATGGAGAAAATCAATATATTTGGGGACTCTGTTGTTACGAATTTACATTTTTAATGAACCTTAACAGGTTGGCCAAGTGGTAATGTAGAAATGAGAACATCCACTGCATCATGGGTTTAAACCTTTGGGTCAACAACCAATATATATATTTTTTTTAAACTAATAAAGGATGGATCCTCTAGTTTAATACTCTTTGAATCAAGTGCGAGTTACGTGAAATAACAAAATGATAAATATATATTAATAACTCTCAAACTTATTTTTAACGAGGTTTTCGTTATTATTCATCAGTCGATCTGTATCGGATTCAAAAAGTAGCTAGGATTTTGTATTTTACCAACGACCATTATGTATTAGACACTACAATTAGTGCTTTTAAAAAAATTGTCGCTCTTTAGCTAGGTGGTTTCGTCGTATCAAGTTCTAACTTCCATGGCTTCTGTCGTCACTTGACGCTTTGGGATAACGTCCAAAACTGATACGTGTAGCCTAAGATAAAGAAAGGGGGTGTCGTCTCGTTCACTCAATTCTTCTTATGATAGTTTACTGGACTTTTTGGTAAACCCCAATGTGGACCCTTGGAATTGGATATTTTGGACTTCCCTACTAGTTCATTTTGTCGTGCTTGAATCGTTAACGCCGACGTCGAAAGAGATATTGAGACCAACTTAAATGTTATTCTTCAAATTTGGTACCTTCATCTCTAAATTTGAGATGATCCCATTTTCATCATTTTTCTTTAATGTTACCATCTTCAAATTTGAAGATAATCACCATTTTCATTATTTTTCTTTATTTAAAAATATACTTATGACCATTTTAATATAATTTGTTAATGTTAATTTTTTACAATTCATCATCATTTTTAAACACAAATTTTTTGATAATTTTTTTGATAATTTTTTTAAAAATTTCGAGACCATTTTTTTTCGACAAAAAATGATTGACCTAATTAAACCCCAATTAACCTATAACATCTTTAAGAAAAAAAGGCCAAGTGACGGGCTGACCGCTGGCAGTTGTCCGGCAATCCAGCACATCCTCCCCATGTTTGGGGGAATCCCCATTTCCATCCTCAATTTTGGGATCCTTTTGCAGATTTCCCTAAATATGGAGACTCTCTCCATTTATGATGATGCATTGGAGATGACACTACTCCATTTATGGGGAAAAAATTCAAAAGTACCACTATTTAAAAAAAGAATTCCAAAAATACCACCCAACCCCTTTTCAAAAACCGCCACCCCACCCTGCGGTTTAAACGAAAACTGCTGGGCGGGGGCACGGTTTTCTATGCAAACCGCTGAGCTAAGGGGCGGTTATAAAAACCTATAAAAACCGCGGGGTGGGGCGGCGGTTTTGGGCCAAACCGCCACCCCACCCAGCGGTTTGGTCAAATTTTTTTTCCCGATAAACTCCTAACTTCGGTCGAAACTTCAAACGAACGTAACTTTGCACTCGGGTATCCGATCGTAGCGATTTATTTTTTGAATGCGAATAACTTTTCGAGATCTACAACTTTTACTAGGATGAAATTTTCAAAACAGGAATTAGTTGTGGATATACGGGACCTTGAGAATTACTTTACCTTTACTTTTCACAATTCCATGTATATTTCGAAATTATGATTATCTTAAATGTTGTAGATCTTGAAAATTTATGCAGAATAAAAAAAAATTCACGACGTTCGGATTTTGGAGCACAAAGTTAAGGCCGCCCAAAGTTTGACGAAATCTAAAAAAGGCTCGTTCGAGGTAGCAAATGACGTTTTTCGAGACGAATGAGGGACCAAACCGCCTACGGATGTTTGCGGCTTGCAAGATCTCGAAAAGTTATTCGGATTAAAAAAAAATCGCTACGATCGGATACCCGAGTGCAAAGTTACGTTCGTTTGAAGTTTCGGCCGAAGTTAGGAGTTGATCGAAAAAAATTTTTTTTGGACCAAACCGCTGGGTGGTGTGGCGGTTTGGCCCAAAACCGCCGCCTCACCCAGCGGTTTTTATAGGTTTTTATAACCGCCCCTTAGCCCAACGGTTTGCATAGAAAACCGCGCCCCCGCCCAGTGATTTTCGTGTAATCCGCAGGGTGGGGTGACGGTTTTTGAAAAAGGGTGATATTTTTGAAATTCTTTTTTTTAAACAGTGGTATTTCTGGAAAAAGTCCCATTTGTGGAAACTTCCCTATTTATAGGGACTCCATTGGAGTTAGCCTAACGTAAGTAAATGTCTGGTTGAGTTATAAAATTATCGACTGTTGGAGGGCATCATTTTCAGATACTTCAACTATGGTTTTCTAGCTCGACTCTTTCAATACCAATAGGTTTGACATAGCAATAATGTGGGACACACAATATCCATCACTTTGCAATCATATTACTATCAATAACAGTTAATATGAAAATGAATCTTGATTTTGCCTAGTCAAATCCCAATGGATTGGCGACGATGATATTGTAGAAATAATTATATTTGTCGTACTCTGTGATTCAATTTTATTGCCAGTAGTTTGTTTTGCATGTGTCGATTAGTCCTGGATCGTATAATTGTAAAAGAGAATTCTTTTATCCTTATTTTTGAAATCAAATGAAATAAAATTTTATTGAATTTCAATCCACAATCTATATATATATATATATTTTTTTTTTTTTTTTTTCTGGATCTTATACTAACTGCTTTGATCTGTACTCATTTAGACCCTGCTCACGCCTAATGTCCCATTAAACCATCTCCAATGATTCTCCAAAAATTCTAAAAGTTCCACAAAACCATCTCCAGTAGCAGTTCCAAACTGCCTAAAAGTCAAAAGTTGGTAATTTGGGTGCTAAATCTGGTATGCATGAGACCATTTACAATGAGTAGTGTCAAATTTTCAAAAAAAAAAAAAAGAGTAGTGTCAAATTTTGGGGTTAGATTTGATATTCTATCCCCTCGAAAAGGTGTTTTGCTCCATTGTCAATATACCAAAATGTAGAATTTTAATATTTTTTTTTTGTCTCAATTAAGTTTAGTGTAGATTCTATTATTTTGCTAGCACAGGGCCCTGCCCGTTGGCGGGAAAGTATGACTCCTTTGGCTAGAAGAATTTGATGTTTAAATAGAGGTACTAAACCTAGAGGTTTTAGTGTGATCACTAATAAGTAGTTCATTTTTATCTATATATTGTAAAGGCTTGAGTGAAAAGTTGCCAATGAATAATTTAGAGAAATAAGATCATACAATTAAATACAAAACAACGTAGTAAAAAATAGAATACATGTTTCTAATATATACAATTATATTCATTATCTAATTCAACTACATCTTTATAAATAAAGTCTTATCTATATAAAAAGTTGGTAAACAACAAAGTTTCTTTTCCAGAGATCTCATAAAAAAATGTTTTTCCGTTGATGAAGTTTAAAGCATTTATACCCATTATCTTCAGTTACTATCGAAATTATTTTGCATTACTAACAAATCATCGTCTTTCATTAAATTTTTTAGTTATATGCAATTTTTGTTTTTTGAAGAACAATATTCTCACACAACACTTAACCAACACATTGCATTGAAATCGCACAGGGCAAGTGACAGTACATTTCTCAATTGAATAATAGTCGAAAGGCTTTCTCTGTATATAATGACAACAAAGTCAAACTATATAGTACCAACACACGATTTGTAATCTATTAAAAGAAGATGTGTAATAAAGACTAGAGGAGAGAGAAATGAGAGAGCTGCTTGAGAGAGAAAGAGGGTTTCCTCCGAGAGGGGGTGGTGAGAGTTGTGGCGATGGTTCTTTTTTTTCCCAGGTCTACTTCGGCCACTCGGGATTCTAAGGAGACCGGACCTCAAGGGAGTCTCAAAGTCGGACGTTTTCTCGCATCTCTAGAGCATGCGTCAGAAGCTATTCAGTAGTGCTCGAATCTTTTGCTAACAAGACCCATCTGCGTCTGTTGGTTTCCAACCCAGATGGCCACCGTCGTTACATTCTCTTCGAACCTGGCCACACCATTTCTGAAGGAAGTCATCAGAGTCAAAGAAATCGGATTCAAAAAATACAGAAGATGGAACGTTCTCGCTAGGTTCCGAAAGGAAGATATCGGCAGGTGTTTTGCTGCTCCAGGTGGTCTAAGTTGGATCATGGCCTTCGGTGCCCCCCCCCCCCCCCCCCCCCCGCATCTCAAATCAAAGGCTATCAGTGGGGAGTTCGTTGACTTTGAGAATGGGGACTGGTCTGATCCCTTTATCCGCATCAAAGTTCGGTTGAATCCGGATGTCACTAAGGAAATACCTCTTCTATTCGGCTCTACATTATTCATGGGAAAAATTGTGAGTCCGCCGGTGGCTGATCTGAGAAGAGACCGTCTTATCGATAGGAAGATGAAGCAGCTGAATAGTTCAAAACCTGAGAAAGTTTGTGATTCGTGCGCCGTCATGCGTGCCAGAGTCTTTCCCGAGAAGTAGCGTGGTAATTTTACCGGTTCAGGGAAGTCGAGCAATCATAGTTCCCTCGACGTGCATGGCATTGTTAACCGTGGGCCGACGACCTGTATGCCTAAGAGGATTCCAACCAAAAAGGCCCGGGTCCGCAAATTTGGGCCTTGCCCGAGGCCCACTACCCCTAACCAGTGTCGATTCGGCCCTTCCCCTGATCTATGCCTCAACACTGCCTATGACAATCCGTCCCCCTGCCCTTCTCAACCTTCCACTACCTGGAATCCCAACCAAACTTCTAATACCCTTGGAGATTTCCATCTCCCGTCCCCTCCTCCTCTGCCTAAACCCTCCCTTGTCCTCAATCAGCCTAGAAATTTCCATAGCGCCTCATCCTTGATTCGGCCCTGGAATTTTTTTCTCTTCCATACCTCCGCCTGCGATTTCTTTCCCAAACTACCCACACCCTTCCTTGCCTAAAATCTTTATCCATAGTCATTTGATCAATCGCGACCTACCTTTTCTTCCCCTCTCTGTTTCCACTATCGATACTGTCATCTCCGCTCCTCCAATCCCTACTCCCCTTTCCCCTTTTAGATGTCCCTTGGAGGATTCAATCCTCGGTGACTATCCCATTGGCTACAACGCTTTACCCCTCTCCCCCGGCCTTTGACATGTTGGAAGATCCCGTCGACCACTGCTTGACAATTGTCCCTTACAACCCGGTTTTGGCAGAGTCTATTGAAGATTGGAAAGCTCGGAGTGACCAAATGGAGATCATCAATAGAAGCATTGAAGTTTGTAGGATCCTGGGACTTCAAGTGGATGATTCTGGTCCTTTGGCTGAAGAGAAAATTGCAGGTCTCGCTGAGGAAGTTTGCAGTAGTCGAAGACGCAAGCATAGATCAAAATTGGTGATGGAAAAACACAGCCTGGGAATTAGCGATTGCAACTCCCATGCCCCGAGAAGGTGGCAAAGAACTGGTCAGTCTTCCGAGAATGTTTACTCTTGCCCCAGCCAGGAAAGAGGCCCCGTTGGGTCTGGAAATGGTGCCAATGGGTATATTGCATCATGATTCACTCTATGATAGCATGGAACGTGCGGGGGCTGGGTAAACCTCTTAAAAGAGATAAGGTAAAAAGGATCATCCGTAGATGGAAGCCTACAATCGTGGGGCTAACAGAGACTAAGTGGAAAACCTGTGATCAGGGACGCATCTTTTCTATTAGTGGCAATAAAGCAGTATATTGGGTTGCCAAGAATTCAATAGGGGCTAGTGTGGGAATCACCATTTATTGATATACCAAAGCTTATGAGTCATTATCAGTATGGGAAGGCAAGTTCTCCCTTGCTGTCAGGCTAAGGGTAATTGACGGTGTAAATATTGTATCAATTCTGGTTGTCTATGGACCACAGGAGGAGAGGAAGTTGGAGTTTCTCCAAGAACTGGAATTTGTTTGCCAAAACTATCAGGTTGCACTATGTATTATCGGGGACTTTAACCTCGTTAGATCTTCAGACGACTTTGTTGGATATCCCTGAAGCATTGAGTTAATTGAAGAATTCAAAAACTTCATCGACAATTTTAATCTTATGGATCTTCCTCTCCATGGGTTGAGGTTTACGTGGAGCAAGGGAGGATAAGAAAACTCTCTAACTTGCATCGACAGGGCACTTGTAAATCCAAAATTCGAAGAAGACTTCTCCCCGGATGTACTCTGCGCTCTGGAAAGGGTGGAATCGTATCACAATCCCATTATGTTGCAATGGGGGAGAAGAGAAGACTTCCAACATTCGTGGAGGTTCGAGAACATGTGGCTTGTTGAGGAGACTTTCCTTCACAGTTTGGTGGGTCGGTGGAGTATCCCTGTTGGTGGGACCAGTCATCTGGTAAGGTTTGGGCAGAAGCAGAGGCAGACTAAATTCATGATCAAACAATGGAATAAAGAATACTTTGGTAGAGTGGACAAGAGGATTGCAAAATTGTTGGCAAGAATCAGAGTTATTGATGCGATGGAAGAAGGTGGGCAAATCAACGAATATGTGGCAACTGAGAGAGCCCTTTTGAAATGCGACATTGAAAATGTTATGTGAGGAAATTTCGTGGCGGCAGAAGTCCAGGGAGCTGTGGCTTAGGGTGTGAGATAAAAATTCAGGGTTCTTCCATAGAGTGGCCAACCACAATCGGAGGAGAAACATAATAAGGCATTTGAAAATCGATGGCTGCTTGACAGATGATGTTAATGCAATCAAAGCTGCATTGAGAGGCTTTTTTCCGTTCAAGTTTATAGAAGGTGAAGGAATCAAACCCTTCCCTAAGGAGTATTGACCCTTTTCTTTCAAAGATGATGAAAATGAAGTGCTTGTGAAGCTATTTTCCAAAGCTGAGATTTGGGAAGTCTGTCGGAACTGTAACGACGATAAATCTCCTGGTCTAGACGGGTTTACTCTCGAGTTCTTCAAGAAAGGGTGGAATGTCATTAAGGCTGATTTGCTAAAGGCGTTGGATGACTTTTATATCACAGAGACACTTTCTCAAGCAATTGCACATTCTTTCATTTGCTTGATTCCCAAGAAGTAAGTTGTCGAAGATATGTCTGACTTCAGACCGATAAGTTTGTTGGGTAGTTTGAATAAGATAATTTCTAAGCTTAACTTTAATCGCCTCCAGCCTTTTATGACTAGAATCATTTCTAGAAATCAGTTTGGAGGGAAAAACGGTCGAGTGATCCACGAAGCCAGCCTTATAGCAAACGAGATTATTGATAGTCGGAGGAGAAGTGGGAAGGCGGGATTGGTCATAAAACTTGATATCAAAAAGGATTTCGATAATACTAGTTGGAGTTGTATTCTTGAGGTGCTTCGGAGTATGAATCTACATCAGAGAGTCCAAAAATGGACAAAGAGTATCATTTCATCATCAAAAATTTCAATTCTATTCAACGGAGAAGCTGAGGGTTTCTTTGGAATGAGCAGAGGTATCAAGCAGGGTGATCCCCTTTCTTCCTTCCTTTTCAATTTGGGTATGGACTTTTTCTCTTTCATTCTGGATGAAATCAATCGAAGTGGAGAAGTAATGCATCTTCTGTACGCTGATGATGCTATCATCTTTTGTGAGGTCAATGAGACAGAAGTTTTGAACATCATGGTTGCAATTATTTGTTTCCAGAGCATCACCGACCTCAAAGTCAATCTGAACAAGACCAGAATCTTTCCCGTTGGAGAAGTGTAGAACATTTCCAGGTTTGTTGAGATCTTAGGTTGCGAGTGGGATTTCTTACCCACGATCTATCTTGGGCTGCCCTTGGGAGTAGGGGTGGGCATCCGGTTTGGTAAACCCGAACCGAACCGGACCAAACCAAAACCAAAATAATGTTCTTCGGTTCGGAATAGAAATTTGTCTAATTTGGAAACCAGGGTTCTTTCGACCGAACCGAGATTTCGAATGTCGAGCCAAAAAACGAAATATGTTGCCTAAGCCCAAATATTAAAACCCATTCTCCAAGCCCACATATTACAACCCATTCCGTAGCCCAACTATCCAAACCTTACATAGACTCACACCCCCAAAGCCCAATCCTTTCCCACTCACATCCCACCCAATTTTGCTAAGTGCTAAACCTAGATCCAATTTCATCAATCACCCTACTCCTTGTACTTCACCGGCGGCAGCTTCCAGCCTTCCATCAATCTAATAAGCTCTCCCACAAGATCTATAAACCCACCAGCCGCCGCACCATCTGCGAAATTCTCCTCGTCGCCGCCGCCTTCGCTTCCTTGGCCCTTTCCTTTGTTCATTGTCGCCCATCGGAGCTGGTTTCTTCTCTTCTTGAATCGACAATAGAGACAAATCAATGCTACTTAAAGTCGAAGGAAAAAAAAAAACAAACCAAAAAATGTAATGCATGTTTGGATCTGAACTGAACCCATACTAACCTCCCTCCTTCTAAGTGAACCCGACTGCTGCCATCCCTCCAATCTGCCACCTTACTATGCTCTGCTCCTATCTGGCCAATTAACTCTGCAATGACAGCAGGTCAGCAGCCATCCGTGCAATCATCATCGCTTTTTCCCTTCGCTTTCTAAGGCGCAGCTTCAGCCTCAAGCCCCTCTTGTACCTGCTGCAACCATCGCCCATGCTGAGACTAAAGGGAAATCTCATCGGTCCTCCACAGCTGGCGCCGTCGACCCAAACGAGAAGACAGATTTGAGGGAGATGGAGTGGTAATTAGTGAGGAGAAATGGGAGAGCTTGTTCGCTAGGTAGAGAGAGAGAGAGAGAGAGAGAGAGAGAGAGAGAGAGTGATGTGTGAAGAGAAATAGGGAAAAAAGGTAAAGAAGTAGAGGATGATGTTTTACTGGAGTAAAGGGACGGCAAAGCATATCAAAAGGGGAAATGAGTGTGAATGCTCTAGAATTTCGAGGTTTGTAGAAAAACCGATCCGAACCAAAATATAACTTGGTTCGGCCAAACCGAATCGAATTATATTTCGGTTCGAATTTGGTTTGGGGTATGGGCCATTTCGGGGACCTAGGATGCTACATTTCGGTTCGGTCGAAATTGAACCGATGTCCACCCCTACTTGGGAGCTCACCCGACTGCACCATCTGTTTGGAACCATGTGATTATAATAACGCGATCAAGATTAGATGGTTGGGAAGGCTCACATCTCTCTATCGGGGGAAGAGTGGTTCTGATTAACGCTGTCCTTGCAAGCCAAAGCAGCTATGTGAGTTCTCTGTTTCTTGCTCCGAAGGGTGTCATCAATTCCGTGGAAAAGATACAAAGAGACTTTCTTTGGTCCGAGAATTCCGAAAAGGAAAAGTTCCACTTGGTATCGTGAGAGATGTGCAAGAATGCCAATCTTCGTGGTGGATTGTGGCTATGGGATTTACAACTTCACAATCAAGCACACCTACTGAAATGGCAGTGGCGGTTTGCAACTGAGAGACAAAGGTCGTGGAGGGAACTTATAGCTCTTAAGTTCCCAAATCAAAACTTAGAGTGGTGTGATGGGGAGATTGGAGAAAGAATGGGGTGTAGCCCATGGATGCAACTCATCAAGCTGAAAAATACGTTCTGGAATTCGACACAAGTTGAGCATGGAAATTGCTTGTGGACTTCCTTCTGGCATAATATCTGGATTAAAGGTAAGCATTTGGCAGATCAATTCCCGAGAGTGGTGGCTGGTGCTGAATCCCCGAGCGCCCGAGTGGCGGATTATCTCCAAAATGATGGTGAGGCGTTATATATGGTGGGAAATTCCCTTAAAGTTTCTTCTTCGGGGTAGGGCTGAAAGAGAGCATGTGAGTTTGTTTTCTGTGTTACACAACCTCCCTTTGTCTAGTTTGTTTGCAAGTCCTCACAGGCTGATCTGGCACTCGGCTCCCACGAAATGGTTTCACTGTGCACTCTGCATTTGATGAACTTGCAGCAGACTTTCCCTCCAAATTCGTGTGGCAGCACTTGATACTTAGCAAGATCTCCGTATTTCTATGGATGGTTTTCCATAAGAAGATCCTTACTTTGGATAATCTAAAGAAGAGAGGAGTCCACTTGCCGAACAGGTGCTCTCTTTGCAAGATGGAAGAAGAAAGCGTTAACCACTTTTCGTGAGCTGCAGGTTTGCAATGGAGACTTGGTCTATAATGAGAGCTTTCATTAGAATCGAAGACAACATCTGTAGGGCCACTGATATCTCAGACATGATTAAAATGTGAAAATACCAAAATCCGGCGGACCCTGCACAATGGTCCTCAAGGGTGTTTCTTCATGCCTTCTGCTGGAACCTGTGGTTGGAAAGAAATGCGAGAGTTTTCAATGATCTTGGTGCTTCCCCTCACCTGGTTGTTTACAAAATTGGTTGTGTAATTTCCCAATGGATATGGGCTGCAAAGAAAGTCAATAGGGAAGTTGCTAGAAATTGGTTAAGGTTATGAAATCCAGGTTATTTCCTAGTTGGCTTGACATCTCAAGTTGATCTGTGGACCGGGGCAGCTGATACATAGGAGGAAACAAGAACTTCTTTAGTGAAACCAATTACTTGGGAAGCCTATAATGACCTGTGTCTTCGTTTCAACAGTGACGGCAGAATCAACTCTCTGTTGCTTGTGTGTGTGTACCTATCTTCCCCGTGTCTCCCCTTGTCCTATGTTAGCTTGCCTAACTAGTTTCCTCTTTTGTGCGTTTGAGGCACCTTTTGTGCTGGGTGCTTCTTTTCTTATGTTTGTTTGGGGTTTGCTCTTTGTGGCGCCTCCGTGGAGGCTGTTTGCTCGGGTTTTATTCCCCTGTATTTCCTTCTTTAATTAATAATATTATATCACCCTTATAAAAAAATGTGTAATGCAATTTAATTTAGTACTGGCATCACATACAGTTTTGTTAATGAAACTCATATTTATCTATTATTGGAACTTTTCATTGTTGCTATTTTTGAAGTAAATATACACTGTAACAATCAATAGCAAATATATAATTTAGATATTATCACATGTACTCATAAATTTTACATAATAAGGAAAAAATATAAAGTGCAGGATCTAAAAGCTAGTTTGTTTGTCTACTAAAGCCTTTAGATATTATCACATGTACTCATATATAATTTAGATATTATCACATGTACTCATAAATTAGGAAGAATGACACAAATATTGTGTTTTTTTTAAATTTACCACCAATATAGCGGATTAAAAAGTATTGACAAGTATATTGTGTTTTGGAGAAAAAGTTAGGCGAGACCACCTGAGACTGAGGTGTCACCACCTGAGACTCAGGTGAATAGGTGGAAAGAAAGTCCCAGGTGTTGGCACCTGAGACTGAGGTGGTACAGCCTGAGACTGAGGTGGCACCACCTAAGACCGAGGTGGCACCGCGAAGAACAATCCTAATTCTAACCCTAAACCCTAAACCAGCGAATTTCGTATCAGTTATTCACATCACAAATGGCTAATAGGTAAGAGACATATTTATTTTTTTAATTATATTATTCAAATGCTATTATGATTGTGTTTAGTTTAATTAGTGAGTTTTTCTGTAGTGATTTTAGAAGATTTGAACTAGTCGTTCGGTGGAAATCGGAGAAAGTAGAGGATAATTTGGGCGTCAAATTCGTTGGTGGTGGTAGTTTTCAGTTGACGGCTTTTCAAATGTAATAGTTGTGGTTTGAAGTAGTTGTTGTTTTTCAAATAGCTGTTATGGTTTAAGAAGGTTGTTGTTTTTCAAATGTAGTAGTTGTTGTTCTTGGCCAAATTATAAAATGTCCGAGTTGTTGTTTGTTATTTGTTGTTCCGAATAGTTATCGCTAATAACATCATACATGAATGTAAAAATAGTTCAAGGAATAGTCCACAAACATAAATAGTCCACATAATAGTCCACATAACACATAAATAGTCCACATACATATCCCAAATAATAATAACATAACAAAAATACAAAAAAAAAAACTCTAACGACGACCACCACGATGACCACCATGCTGATCCGTGTCGAGGATGATCAGCCCCAGCATGATGATGGTAGGCCTACACGGATCAGGGTGCCAGTGAGGTGTGGTAAAGACGGCCATCTAGTGGATCAGCATGGTGGTCGTGGTGGTGGTGATCGTTAGAGTTTTTGTTTTGTATTTTTGTTATGTTATTATTATTTGGGATATGTATGTGGACTATTTATGTGTTATGTGGACTATTATGTGGACTATTTATGTTTGTGGACTATTCCTTGAACTATTTTTACATTCATGTATGATGTTATTAGCGATAACTATTCGGAACAACAAATAAAAAACAACAACTCGGACATTTTATAATTTGGCCAAGAACAACAACTACTACATTTGAAAAACAACAACCTTCTTAAACCATAACAACTATTTGAAAAACAACAACTACTTCAAACCACAACTATTACATGTGAAAAACCGTCAACTGAAAACTACCACCACCAACGAATTTGACGCCCAAATTATCCTCTACTTTCTCCGATTTCCACCGAACGACTAGTTCAAATCTTCTAAAATCACTACAGAAAAACTCACTAATTAAACTAAACACAATCATAATAGCATTTGAATAATATAATTAAAAAAATAAATATGTCTCTTACCTATTAGCCATTTGTGGTGCGAATAACTGATACGAAATTCGCTGGTTTAGGGTTCAGGGTTTACGGTTTCAGGGTTAGAATTAGGATTGTTCTTCGCGGTGCCACCTCAGTCTTAGATGGTACCACCTCAGTCTCAGGCGGTACCACCTCAGTCTCAGGTGCCAACACCTGTGACTTTCTTCCCACCTATTCACCTGAGTCTCAGGTGGTGACACCTCAGTCTCAGGTGGTCTCGCCTAACTTTTTCTCCAAAACACAATATACTTGTCAATACTTTTTAATCCGCCAAATTGATGGTAAATTTTTAAAAAAACACAATATTTGTATTATTCTCCCCATAAATCCACCATTAATATATTGTACACTTTTGTGTACTTGGATTCAAATTTCCGGCTATGTCCTTCATTTGCGGTGAGGGTAACTAAGTAATTGTCCCAGTTCTTTTCGCGGCCGGACACCCTTACGGAAGAGCTTACGTGGATCTCCCGCTTCCATTTATTCCCATTTTCAATCCTACTCATCGCTCGCCATCCAGTTTCCTCTCTCCTTCCCGCAGCTTGGCGGAAGTCGACCTGAATAATGGTTTCGTGCGGCAAAGACGAGAGCTTTCATGTCCAGGTATTATTCTTCCAATTAATTGACCTTCTTTTTCCTCAGAATGAAAATCAAATCATCTCTTCCCTAATCGGTAATATGCTTTGGCTGTCTACGAATTCCTACGTGGATTTTGTTACGTCGGGGTTTTTCAAGTTTGGGGTGTACCCGTGTGTGCGTTTCAAAATTGTCGGGGCTTACATATCCCCATTCTCTTCACCAGGTCAGATTTTGGAGTGCAATTGGCCCGACTTTATGCGATTACGATTTTCATGGGCTGTTAACCTTTCAATTCGAGTAGGAGCCTCTTCTTTATTGACGTCGGACACCATCCATTTTGGTTCTCAATCAAGAGTTGAAGTCCCTCTTCCAGCCATCTAATTTATTCCCGCACTGAAAGGGTAGAGCCATCATCGCTTATTGTCGAGTTCTTAGATGTGATATGTGTTAGTGTTGTGGTATATGATTCACGATTGAACCTCTTCCAACAACTCGAGTTATTGGGATCAACTGGTTCTTCACATGGTATCCAATCTGTATATTGTGTTGCAAAGTCCACTTTAGGTATTTACTATTTTAAACTCATTCTAAAGCCTCGGCTTCTTTGATTTCTAGAATTGCAGCTCAGAGTTGGTAGGTCTTTTAGTTTTCTTATTTGTTGTATGCTTTTCTGGTTGTAATCTTCAATTGTGCTTCCCAAATTTGCTGCTCCATTGATTGTGAGATTACATATGGGTGCTAATTTGTTTCTTACAGTATAGCCATATGGTCACCTCTATTAAAACTTATCGTATTAAAGAAAAGGCTTGCTACTTCTTCTCATTCTGCAGGTAGGTGTGAATGGGAACTCCCTACCCAGTTGTTGATTTAGCTCTTAGTCGGGAACTGCACTCTCTGGCCTCATCTTCAAGACCCTCAGCCTTTCAGTGATCTCCTTGGCTGCCAATTCCATTGTTTTTGCTGTGGAGTCCAGACGACTACATTGTGTCTATTTTTGCCTCTCACTGTAAAGCTCCTCTCCCTCTCCTTGGTGAAACGAATATCAGAGTGGTTACAGGTACCTTTGCGTCTACTGTAATTGGTTTTTGCTCATTGTAGCTACTTTGATTGTCACATTACACTATCTGATCTACCGAAATATAACCCAACCCTCCTTATGACAAAGGGGTGCAATTATTTTCCATTGGCAATATAGGGTTTGGATTAGGATCTAAGTGTAAATCCTCTCTAATTTTGTGTTTACTTCTCTTATTCTCTTACCGTCATCTTTATTTATTCACAATTCTCAATTTCTGTTGTCAGTTCCAGTTCGAAATTGCTACAGAATTTGCCTGCTCAGGTGTTCAGATTACACTTCGTTTGACAACTCCATAGCTGTTGGGTATACTTTTTAGGTTCAGATCGATTTTCCCTTGGCTGCAGCTTGCGATGACAATGATTGGTCTACATGCATTTGTGATGGTTGATACACATTTATCAAGTTTTTAATGGCTAAGTTATCCTTTTGCTGCTCTATTGGCCTTTGGATTGGTGTTTTGTTATATGTCAAACTTGGTTGTATTATCTCATCACAATTTAAACAATTAACATGATCGAGTATCAAACTAAGCTACCAAGGCACTGGTTTCTGCTTCCAGTTTTGATTGGCTCTCTGTGAGATTCCTTTCACTTTTCAATTTGTCATGAGTAACTAAGAGTTCTTAGAGCTAATGATTTAGCAGTCTGTGATGCATCCCTATAATCACATGCTTTTGGGATGAATGATGGTTGTATTATTCTGCCATTATGAGCATATATCATCAATATTCTAGGATTTGGTTCTTTGCTTTATAATCTATATCATGTTTGTCTGAGTGTGTTAGATAGAATTGTGTTGGTATTTTATGTCGAATAGGGAAACAGTTGTTTCAAAACTACAACAATTGGTTTTTTGCTCACTTATGCTCATGCCAAAGAGAATTACTGAAACAGAATTTAACAGGTTGTGTATGGCATTGGGGGTTGGGGTTTAAGATAAGATAACGGTGTAGTTCTTTGACTATAGCAGATTTGCAGTTGTGTATAATGCAATTTTGCTCCCATGTTTCAACTATTAAGATTAACCTCCCACCCATTTTAAGCTATGGTGGTTGAGATTGATATTGTTAGTTCATGTTCTGCATCCCAGAGTACTTTTGGATTGACAGAATACTATGTCATTTTACCATTAACGTTGCATGTTGAACTTTGAAAGTGCATCCCAGAATACCGTGGGGTTTAGAGAATACTATTATTATGTCATTTTACCATTAATATTGCATGTTGAACTTTGAAAGTGTAATTACTAATTTGCCTTAATAGATGCGATCGGCCAGATTGTGACTTCTATATATTAATGTATACTACTATCATTTTTTATTTATTTAAGCATTGCTAACTCAATCATGTTTAATTGCAACTACAAATATGAACTTATCATATAAGTGCATCTATTTTTAATACGAAAGTTATTATTAGAAAATTATATTTTGGTACCTAATTTTTTTCATTGTGAAATTTTAGTACCTAAACTTTTCAAAATTTACAAAATGGTTCAAGGCTTGGGTGTGATTTGAATTCTTGGATCAATTCACGAATCAATTTTATCCAATCCATAAATCTACCAATTCATTGGATCCAATCTATTTGATACATAGATTAACTAATCCATGAATCTAAGCCATTTACATGGTTTATGCAAACCCCAATCAAAGTGTGATTTGTTTTTTTATAGAAATGATAGAAGGCTAGGTGCCAATTAGGCTTCTTAGGTGGTTACTACCGTATTCGGCCAATGGGCCGGCCTTAAAGCTAGTTAGAAGAGCTACCGTTCCGATGGTATAAACCAGTAAACCACAAGGTCGACATTAACGGGATCAACAACTACTTGGGGGAAGCTCTTTTGTTTGTCCTCCTACTCGGTCCACGTGGCATTCACCATCTTCGCCATGAAACCATACCGATCCGCCGCTTCATCAATCTGCCAGCAGCAATAAGAAGAACCACAAAAATGACTCGAGCAATATCGTTGATCGATCAACAATAAGAAAATCAGAACCAAACTCGTCGTCATACCATTTTCTGAGTCGGCCGGCCGACGCCATGGCCGGACTTCCTGTCGATCCGGCCGATGATGGGGTTTGTTTGTGGACTGTTCTCCAAGCTGGTGCACAGAACATACTGCAACGTCTGCCCAAAAGGAAGAGTACGTACCAGAAACCGTTGATCAAACTCAAAACTTAGGTCGAGAATAAAAGGATTCTCTCTTGTATGAGGGAGATCATCAACTCACCGCCAACAGCTTGAGAGAGTGCAATGGAACGACCCGATCATCGTGATCGGCCGTCAGCAACATGGTCGCAGGGTACTGACCATCGGGGCATGCTTCCCATGGTCTCCTCACATTGTGGAGTGGAGAATACCTGCAAAAAATTTACAAGAGAAACACAGCCATGGAAGTTGAATGTAAGTCTCCAAGCACAAAATATCATTTTGTTAGTGAGTTTGGTTTAGTGTTGTTAATGAACCAAGTCGATCCTGAAGGATTCAGCCTTCGATTCGAGAAAATTTGGTTCGACACTCGACTCATCTTTAGCTTAGTCGGCTAGAGAACAAGTTCACGAGCTGAGCTCGAGCCATGACATGTGCAGCTCGATAGACTCGCATAAAATTTCGAGAGCCTTTTGCGTTTTGCTCTTATGAGATGAGTTCAAGGTTGAGACATTTTATCAGGTGAACTCGATTTTTTGCTTGTAAACTTTATTTGGCGAGCCAATTCAAAACGAGCTCGAGCTTCTATTTTGACAAACGAGCCGAAATCGAGCTTGCCTACTGAAACTCGTATCGAACACTAGTCGAACTTGATCTTGAAATTATTTTAACGAGTCTGAATCCAAACCATAACAAAGTTCTGACTCAATTTGGATATCATTAACAACCCTAGTTTGAATAGAATCATATCAGACATAATAAAGAAAAACAAAAATTGAGTATTCCATCTTACTTGATCAGCCAATGGAACTCTTCTTCCTTGTCTGAACAGCCAAAGTCAGTAGTCCAAGCATGACCTGTGAAGAAAAAGAAAAAAAAATTTGTTTCAGCCACATAAATGAAGATATATAGTGGTTGTGCTGACTCTGATCTTTTATCACAAAAAAAAAAAAAAAAAATCTTACCTATCGTGAACCTGTGGAACCGCAGCATGTCCATGACACCAACATGCGCCAGAGAGCAGCCGAACAAATCCGGCCTCTGATTTATGCAGGCTCCGACGAGGAGGCCGCCGTTGCTGCCGCCTTCAATGCAGAGCTTCCCCGGCTGGGTATATCCGTGTGACACGAGGTACTCACCGGCAGAGATGAAATCATCAAAGACGTTCTGCTTCTTGGCCAGCGACCCTGCCTTGTGCCACTCCTCGCCGTACTCTCCGCCGCCGCGGATGTTGGCGATGCAGAACACGGCGCCTAAATGCTTGGCCAAAGCTATCCGGCTCACGCTGAAAGCCGGCGTGATGCTGACGGTGAACCCGCCGTAGCCGTACAGCAAGCACGGGTTCGACCCGTCCAGTTTGATGCCCTTCTTCGACCCGATGAAGATTGGGAACTTGGTGCCGTCCTTGCTTGCAACGAAAACCTGATCAAAGCAAAACAATGAGGTTGAAACATATATTTTTTTTTTTTGCATTTATTCGTAATTCTTATTCATTTGATAATTATTCACGTAAATTATTCACATAAATGGAATCACAAACTGATTCTCTTTTTTCAATTTTTCGTAAAAGTGAGTTTGATTGATTATAATCTATACAATGACAACCATATTGAAATATTTCAAGATTTAAAAATTGTTTTTACTACAACTATGTATAAATAACAATATATGTAAATAAATACTATACTTGCGTGAATAATCATTACTGTTTGCGTGAATAATTACTACAATTACCTGAATCAACACCAATATGATTTGAATAAGCCCAAATTTACGCGAATAAACAAAAAAAATGTTTGAATTAGGCGTTGTAGTATTTAGGTGTCGCCAAACGAAGAAAAATACTCACTTGCTTCACTTGGAACTCTGAGCGATCGAATCCAGCGACGTGGATCTCCCGAAACACCTTCATTTCCAGAACCCCCGAACCCAAATCACACTGGTAGATGATCCCAGGGGAAAGAAAGCTCGTGAATCCTATAAACGCCACACTGTCCTGTCTCCTTGCAGAAACCCGAGTCACCGTACCAATATCAACAGGCATCTGATGCAGAAACTCCCCTGTCTTAAGGTCCCTGACCTGCAACACACTCTTGACGTCACTCAGGTAACTCAGTACCAATTTCTCGCCATCAACGGCACGTGCTATCTCCAACACGTCCTTGTCGGACTCCGGGACGACATCTGCCCATGAACTCGGGTCGGTCAAGTCGACCCGGACCAGCTTGTAACGAGGAGCGTCCTTGTTCGTCAGGAAAGTGAACGATGTCCCGTCGTTTGCTACGGCTGCGTACTTCGCATCGAAGTCGTCGACGAGCTTGATGAAAGGGAGGAGGTCCGTACTGTTGTTTGATTCCTTGAAACCGTGTAGTTCACCACCAGCTGGGAGTGCAGAGATATCACAGTAGTACACTTTGTTGACCGGATCGCAACCTTCGTGGGTGTAGAGGAGAAGATGCTGCATGCAGAGTATCACACCAATCGTAACTAGAATGAATTCACAACTCAGATCTAATTCGAACTCAAAACAAGTTTAAGAGCGTTCAGCAGGACAATCTACGTACCTTTCCATCGTCTGCGACCGTTGCGTCGAATCGGTGCTTAGGGTTTTCTTGATCCCTCCAGCACAGAATATCCTCTGCTTGATCCGTTCCCAAGAAATGGTAATACGATTCTTGATACAGGTTGATGTTGGTCTCTGTTCCAGCATCTAGCTTCTCTCCATCTCTGCACAACAACAAATTGCTCACAATATAAGTGCCTTAATCCTACTATGATCAGTGACAACTTCCTTTCATTTTAATCATTTTCCGCTTCAGCATAGAGGTGACAAATGCATTGGATTCATGGATTGGTGGATTCATTGATCAAATGGATTTGTGTATTCATGGATTGGATCAAGTGGATTTGTGGATTATCCATGAATCTAAACGACATCCTCAACCTTGGACCAATATGTAAAATGTGAAAAGTTTAGATACTAAATGTTATAATAAACAATTGTAGGCAACAAAATGTACTTTTCCAATAAAATTTTCGCATTAAAATTATAATTTAGGTACCAAAATGTAAAAAAAATAAAAATTATAGGTACTAAACCATAATTTGTCAACGATTCATGAATCCACCAATCTAATTAGAATTAGATCAAATTGATTGAATTAGTTGGATATTTTTAATAAATTAGTGGATTAGATTAAAAATTGACACCTCTACTTCCTCACATTAAACAAAGGTGAGGGTCAGAATGTTACTTGGGAGCAGGGTAACGGCTGTAGAAGAACCCTCTGCTGTCGTGTGTCCAACTGATGCCTGTAAACTTTGCCTGAGGAACACAAGAAAGAAAGCTCAGAACTCGCAGAGCAAAATTGAGAACAGACGACAGCAAGATAGGTAGGCATACAGACAATGAATAATAAACCGCGCGTTTAATCTCTCACGTGCGTACCCATGAAATCGTGTCTTCCTCAACTGTCTTGTCCTCAACTCGCATGACCTTGATGGTTATCCAATCGCTCCCACTCGAGCTAAGCCCGTAAGCCAGGTACTTCCCATCCTCGCTCACTGAAAACGGGCCAAGCGATACTGTGCCGTCGTCGCTCAGCGCATTCGGATCAAGCAACACCTCTGCCTCTCCTTGTAAACCGTCCTGTTATAAAAAAACAAACATTCCAAAACAAACTTAATTAGCTTATCTATTGGGTTAATAATTAGTTATTCTTGAAAATGTTAAACTCTTTACTTCGTTATTTATGGACTCGCTAGGAGATTAGTGCGATTTTATCATATTGGATGTTATTTATTGTATATTTGACCTCACAATCCATGTCAAAATAGAATATAAATCCTTATTTAATTCACCATGAACCATTTAAATGAGTTATTTATAAATGCTGACATTTGGAGGGAAAAAACAAACAAACAAAACATAACATAACATATGGAAAATAAGGCCAAAGAAATGGGAAAATTCTTAGCTCCAACCTTGGTTGGACGCAGAAGTTCCAACCATCCAAGGTGTTAGTTTGTTATTGGTGAATTCACCTTCTTTTTTCTTAATATTTAATTATGCTAAGTAAATCAAAAATTAAAATATTTAAAAAATGATGAAATCACCAATAGAAACCTGACACGTGGCTGGTTGGAGCTTCTGCGTCCAACCAAGGTTGGAGCTAAGAATTTTCCAAATGGACATTTCCAAATACAAACCCTCATTTCTTTGCCAGCAAAATGTCACACACATAATAGTCACGATCTCTTGTCCAAGTCAAACATAAAAAAATTTACTCAATTTACAGACACCTTATGTAATATTTGTACCTACTTATATAACACATTCAAACTGGTTATATAGGTTTCTATATAATGCTAACCTGAACATAGAGGACGCTCTGGGGCTGAAGGCCGGTGTTGTGGAAATAGAAGTACTTGTCCCCACGCCTCGACGGCACATCGTAGCGCGGGTGGTCGAACAGCTTCGTAATCTTCCCCTTCAACTTCTCCCTCAACTCGCACGTCTCCAGCACAGAATTCGCCAGCTCCGCCTGCTTTTCCACGAACGCCTTGGTCTCCTCCGAATCAGGATCCTCCAGCCTACCAAAACAAAACACACACAAACAACAAGTTTTTTCCTTCTGTGCCGCTTTTCCACAAACAGGGAGAATGCAACCGGGAAACAATAAAGACAGTATGATCAGAAAGCCTCCACTCATTACCATCGGTAAGGATCGGAGACCTGGACGCCGTGGTAATCATCGACGACGGACTCGTCCCTGCGCGCGGGGGGATACGGCAATACGCCTCCTCCGTGGTCGCTGCCGGCGGTGCAGTCGAGAGCGGAGAGCGAGCCCATTGGTGGCGGTGACGTGATAAGGGAAGAAGCTTAGGGAGAGGAGAAGGTGTTTGGGTTGTTGTTGGTTGGTGGGGATTGGGAAGGAGGGAGAGTTTGAATATATATAAGGAAGGAGACTTGTCTTGTTGGGGGAAGAGACGGAGACGGTAAGCGAATCGTATAGTGGAGTTCGGAGGGGAAAGGAGAATAATAAAATGGGGGGAGGGAGCAACGATGGTGCAAGGATGAGAACATTGTGTCGATTTTTTGGATACCGAATCGCGCGCCATGTGTATTGGGGTAACAGTGTCGTCATTTCTTTTTTACTTTCCTACTACTATCAAACCCACGGTCCATGCACGATAGTCGATAACCGGGCTAAAATCGAGCACTTCTACTATGCTATATAGTATTGGTATTTTAATGTACAACTTAAAGTTGTACCATAACATTAAATGTATAAATTTAGGTTGTACCATAAAACAATTTGTACCATTATGCTATGGTACAACTTTACAACTTGAAGTTGTATCATCACATAAAGATACAAGTTCAAGTTGTACCATAAAAGAATTTGTACAACAAGTATAGGTATAATCTGAAGTTGTACCATAACATAAATGTACAATTTTAAGTTGTACCATAAAAGCAAAAACCTATAGCACCAATACTATATAGCATTGTAAAATTTCTCGGCTAAAATCATGTCACTAAGGGGTCTTTAGTTATATCGACTACCAAAAGCACACTCGAGAAAAATAAATATTTTAAAAAATAATAGTTTTAATGTTGCCTCAAAAGTGAAAGTAATCTTATTTAATTCTTAATTATTGTTTTCATAGGTTTGTTATTTACAATAGCATGTAATCGATGAACTTGTATAAGGTGAAAGGATTTTTGAATAAATTATTTATGTTTAAACTTCTCTCATGATGCCATTGTTTCAATTTGTATGACTAGTTGTTGATCTTGCTGTAATTTTTATAGAATGAAGCAAATTCTCTAGATCTTTTCAAGAAGTAGTAAAAAAACAGTTGAGTGTTTAGCTGAAAAACTATCAGAATGACTTTTTAATATAAGGGGTCATGTAAAATAATTAAAAAATATTTCTAACATAAAATATGAATACAAATTCTAAAAATAAAAAAATTATTTAAAATGGGTCACTTTAAATTTATTTCTTATTAAATAATAATATTTTTCAATTTATTTTTTATGATATAAATGAAAGAAAATTATGTTTCCTAGAAAAATAAAAGTATATAGTAAAGACAATTTTGTATTTTCAAATCAGAGCTTCTGCTTTTAAGTTATGAAAACTTCAGCTTTTTAAAAAGCGAAACTTTAGAGGTGTTTGGCTTGCCTTCGCCTTTTGAAACATAAAACTTCTAAAATTCGGGCCAAACATAGTCGTACTCTTTTGGATTTTTTTTTAGTTTGAGGTAATCGTGGTTCTCCTTTATGAAATTTTGGGACTGATTGCAGGTTTGAGGAGATTCAACTCGCATTGGTTGGGTCAAATTAGGTTGGATGCCGATGGATTCGGGTTCAATTGTCTTTCTCAAACAAAAGGAAAAGGCGAAATGAAAAACACTGAAGGTAAGACTCGCTACTGACTCAAAATGTGTCAACAGCAGGTTCAACTCACTTTGACCTGGTTGAACCGAGTTTTGAGCAAATTCACACCTAACACAACTCGCCAATTACAAAAACAGATAAAACTCGATCCTACCGAAAACTTTTTAACACCGGGTTCGAGTCGCTTTGGTCGGGTCTAATTAGGTTGGATCTTCATGCATTTGGACTCAGTTGTCATTCTCAACCAAAAGGAAAAAGATAAGAAAATACAAAAGTGGATAAAACTCACTCAAGACCCTAAACTCTCAACACTGCGTTCAACTCGCTTTAACCAGGTCAACCCAGTTTTAATAAATTCACAATTTATCTAACATGTCAATTACGAAAGCGGATAAAACTCGTTCTCGATACGAAACTCATCAACAATGGGTCAGAGTTCAATCGTCATTCTCAACGAAATGAAAAATGAAAAAAAAAACATGAAAGCGTACAAAACTCGCTTTCGATCTAAAACTGGTCAACAACGTGTTCAACTCGCTTTGACCAATTTTTTAACAAATTAACACTTGGTTTTACCTGTCAACTACAAAAGCGGATAAAACTCTCTAACAATACAACACTCGTCAATACCTTAGATTCGGGTTCAATTGTCTTCCCAACCATAAGAAAAAAAAGAGAAATTCATAAATACTAAAGTCAGTTTCAAGTCGCTTTGATTGAATCGAATGGCTTTTATATATTAATTTGGGTTCAGTTGTGACGATGGTCAACAAAAAGGAAAAGTAGAAAAGAAAAAATACTAAAGAGGATGAAACTCGGTCCCGATACAAACTCGTGGTAGCGGCCTTGATATCAAGTTAGGGTACCCTTGTGTTTGGGTTCAATAGATGTAAACCTAGTGAACAATAGCTAAACACAAAGGTTATAAAATGTAGAGTGAGGTAAAAGAAGCAACTTGAAACTTCTCACTTGCACTTGGAGGAGTGTGAGAGCCACTAATGAATAGTAACTCACAACCTAGGCTTTTATATATTAAAACACTCATTAATACCTTAGATTCGGGTTCAATTGACTTCCCCACCAAAAGAAAAAAAGAGAAATTGATAAATACTAAAGTCAGTTCAAGTCGCTTTGATTGAATCGAATGGCTTTTATATAATAATTTGGGTTCAGTTGTGATGATGGTTAACAAAAAGGAAAAGGAGAAAAGAAAAAACACTAAAGATGATGAAACTCGGTCCCGATACAAAACTCGTGGTAGCGGCCTTGGGTTCAAGTTAGGATACCCTTGTGTTTGGGTTCAATAGATGTAAACCTAGTGAACAATAGCTAAACACAAAGGTTTTAAAATGGAGAGTGGGGTAAAAGAAGCAACTTGGAACTTCCCCACTTGGAGGAGTGTGAGAGCCACTAATGAATAGTAACTTACAACCTAGGCTTTCATATATTCCCAACCAAAAGAAAAAAAGAGAAATTCATAAATACTAAAGTCAGTTTCAAGTCGTTTTGATCAAATCGAATGGTTTTTATATATTAATTTGGGTTTAGTTGTGATGATGGTCAACAAAAAGGAAAAGGAGAAAAGAAAAAACACTAAAGAAGATGAAACTAGGTCCCGATACAAAACTCGTGGTAGCGGCCTTGGGTTCAAGCAAGGACACCCTTGTGTTTGGGTTCAATAGATGTAAACCTAGTGAACAATAGCTAAACACAAAGGTTATAAAATGGAGAGTGGGGTAAAAGAAGCAACTTGTAACTTCCCCGGCCACTTGCACTTGGAGGAGTGTGAGAGCCACTAATGAATAGCCACTAATTCAGTTCCCAAGAGTTTTTATTTGCCGCAAATAATGGTGGAGGGATTAGGGGGAGAGATAAGCGAAATATAATAAAAAGTGTGTTAATAATTAATTATTTTAAGAATTAATCTCGCCGGTTATTAATTAGGAAATAAATTGAATATTAATCACTAATCAGACGCAGGTGGTTGGGAAGGATTGAAGGAATCCATGATAGAGCACAACATAGCCCGCTTAATTAACACTAAACTCTATAATTTTTAGTAACTAATAATTTTACCAAATATTCTCTAATGATTGAGATGGATTGGGGGGGGGGGGGGGGGGTTATTGACATTATTATATTAATATTATCATTTAACTAGGAAAAATATTGGTAGTGATAAATCACTAAATTAGATAAAACTAGTGATTAAATATATATGATAATATTAATTTACGGTTGGCCCGGATTACGGTTTAACAAGATTAGGGCGTGACCTTGACCAATTAGTTATATTTTTAATTAATTATAATTTACAAAAAAATGTTGTATAATATTATGGATATTTAATTATAAATGATCATAAATATTGTACAAGGCTACAAGCTTATGCATAATTTATTTTAATTGTGTAGAAGACGTGAAAAATCATTGAAACCCTCACAACTTCACTAAAATATGGATACAAACATGTTGGAATCGTCCCTTTATCGATTGGACACCCGGGACAAAAAAGAATGAACAGTGTCACACATTTCATCGAGGTTTTTGGGGGCTATGGGGGTCGTAACGAGTAGTTTCTTGGGCCTACCATGCGTATTTTGACGATGCGAACGATCGTTGTTAGTGGAGACAGAGTCGATTTTGCCTCTAAGACAATGTCATAGTAGGATTGGATTGATCGAGGTTGAAGGTAGTTATTTGTAGGGCTGCAAACGAGCCGAGCTGAGCCGAGCTTTTGCCCAGCTCGGGCTCGAACTCGAGAGAGGATAACTCAGCTCGGGCTCGGCTCGAACTCGATACGAGCTATACAATTCAAGCTCAAGCTCGGCTCGAAAGGAAAATTTTGAGCTCGGGCTCAACTCGAGCTCGACTCGATTCTAGCTCGCAAATGAGCTCAACAAGCCAAAATCAGCGAGCCAAAATCCTTTGAAGCTTTTGATCAAAGCTCGGCTTGACCAAACCTGAAAGTTTCTCTAGTTTTAACAAAATATATAATCATTCACACATTTAATATCAAATTACAACCTGTTTGATTACAACCATGATTGATTACTTAATAGGGTCTTCAAAATAACATGTTACCGTCTCCTGTGAAGTTACAATCATGGAAATGACTAACAACTAGACCCAAAACATAGATACGAAGGGTTTCTTAAAGACCACCAAGAAAAACAAGATAAGCAAAAGACATCTTGAAGGCAACGACACATGTTGCAGCCTGCATGTAATTTCGTCGTGCAAATGACCACCTGAATAAAAGAAAGTAATAGAGAACATTATAATCAAAGCAAAAATAAGATAACAAACAATTACACATTAAGTGCAACAAAGTTGCAGTGAGCCTCGCCCCATACCCATTTTAGGCTTAAGCTGGAAAAAAAAAACAATTATTCAACCCACAAAAAGATAAAGGACAACTATTGTGAGAGACAGAGGAAAGACATGAATTTTTTATTACGCTGTTCTTATTACAGCCCCAAATAATTAATACTTTTCTTACTACACTACATCA